ACTATCTCTAGTCATCAATTTTTTTAACAGATGATCAACATTGTAATCGTGGATATCAATCATTTCAAGTTAATATATGAAAGTTTCTGAGTTTTAATAGAAAACAGTTGTGTGATGTTGTGCGTGAAGTAATCTACTGTACATTCTTGCACTAAATCCACTTTACAATGCACATGACAATGCTTGCACTCAATCGACTTTACAGGTTGTAAGTAGCATCTTTTTGTCCAATTCAATATAAATTTGCTTAAATTTCAGACTTACACTAATCTTCTGACCTATATCGCACAGACGTTACAGGTCATAAGACATTCTTTCATTTGTGGTTCTTGTGATTAATTAATTTTGCTGTATAACCAAGTCACATAAGATGTGATAAAAACACATAATGTTTTCTCTTATGAGTGCTGCTCCTTCAGAGTGCCAGACAACCAACTGTAAGGTTAACTTTTCAAATTTTCACATTTTTTGATCGTATCTGTTACAAGATCAGTCGGGGGATTGATGGATATACGCATTTTGCAACTGTACAAATGCTGGCGCATCCAAAAATCTTAAAGAAGATATGAATGGAGATCTTTTTAAAGCTATCTAAGTATAGTTTTCAGCAATGCGTATGGTACGAACTGAGATCTATACTATAGATAAAATTCTATTAGATCTTTTGTGATTTTTGTCCACTTCTTCAAGACGTTTTTATTAAATCCATTGCTTAGTATTGCTAAAGTTTCTCAATCATCATCAGTACTAATGATCGCGATCTAAAATTTTCTCCCTAAAAGAAAACTTTATCTTAGATGCGACGACTATTCGTTAACTTAAATCTGAAATTCAGAATAATTAACTAAAAGTCCTAGCGTTACTTTTTAATGCCTATAAACTTTCCAACAAGGTATCAAGTGTGCGTAAGGCTTATATGTTATAGTCTGTGGAAATAGAGTAAACAAGAATACTTCTGTTTCGCCACATATGCGTTGAGTTACGAACACTAGGTTAAAGAGAATACTGTTGTACCAGAAAAGGCATTAAGACTGACTGGCCACATCGCAGCATGTAACTCACGTAGATCCTATAAAACCACTTTACGCATACAGAACTGTTCGAAGGATAAGGGCAAATGTCACTTACTTTCCACCACACATGCATGTCTTTCTAATGTAAGGATTTTGAAATAATCCTCCCATCAATGCAGCGGGAAGTCTTTTGGAAATTCCTCGCAATTCTCTTCAATAAATCTGTGTTTGCCAGGATATGACGCAAAGCAGAAGCAAATGATTGAATGATTGAACTGCTTCTGCAAGGACTGTCACAACGATACCACAATTGTCTTGCTTAACGATAAAGGGTACAGCATTCTGTAATAAGAGCTACTGCTGTGCAATGCTATTTGAAAGAGGATAATATTTACAAGAGTTCGTAGAATGGAATCAATTTGGTTGGCCTAGGGTCAATAAAAAATTTCTATATAGAAAGAAACTAACGAAAGAAAATGAAGAGGTAACCATTATCGAGCCCAGATTTTAGATGCTTATCTCTACTAGTGAAGGGTGCTTTACAAGCCGAATAAATTAGAATACTCTCTCCTCCAAGCACATAGAATGTCTCTACAAGCACGTAAATTGACGTCACTGCGAAATATTGTGATTGCTTTGGATTTGTTGTTTTATTTTTCTTTGGCTTTTTCTCCTTTTTTCAGCCTTTATTCGTAAACTGCAGACGACAAAGTGATATAAAATAGAAAATTTATGATATAAGCGTTAAATCATGGAACGCATTGCTTGGAGAATGACCGAAAAAAACTGAGGCCCGTATATTCATTTTAGCAAATTCGAAGGCAGTTCTGCTACAGTAAACGCTAAATTATTTAACATCATCTCATAAAATTTAATAACATTTATTATTTTAAGAAAATTCAAATAATTTTTATCGAATGTGGCTTCAAACGGAAACGATTCTCTTGCTATACGCATAGACCGACATTGCCTATGGAAGTATTCATATATATATATATATATATAGTTTTCCTAAGTTTCTGTAGGAATTGAATAATTAAAAATCCTTGGGCTGCATTTGCTTCTCTTCTGCTCTTAACGTAAAAGTTAGTTTTTCTTTGAAACGAAAATTTTTTTCTTATAAAATTTTTATCAAATGAAAATTGAAAAAAATTTCTTTTAAATCATAGCGAATAGGATTCGCGAGAAGAAAAGGCACAGATCGACACGAGGCGTGATATTATCTGCGGGATTATCTGTGGGTAAATTTTTAACCTGCATTTGCAATTCTGTTTATTTGCTTGTAGATTGACTTTTAGTTAACAAATTTTTTTTTTTTTATCAACAAACATTCACTAAAAGGCGTACAACTTTTTTCACAAAGCTTTTTAATTTTTATACCCATCGCCGAAGGATGAGGAGTATATTCATATTGTCAAAACGTTTGCAACGCCCTGAAGGAACCATCAGCGACCCGCCAAAATGTACATATTTTCTTTATCAGCATCGAATTCTAAGCATCGATGTAGGCTTGCCCGTCCGTCCGTCTGCGTAATATTTGTTGTAGACATTCTCCTGGCCGCAAAAATGAAGGAATGAAAAATTGATTTAATGCTCATTACTCGTAAATTGCGACCGATAAATGTGCAAACTTTTTTGAAGGCATATTTTATGGGCATAAATAAATTGACCATGCCTGCCCAATAGTACAAATGTATCAAAATTTAATTTTTCAATCCGATTATCAGGGTCAGAAATAAGCTTCAAAAGCCCCATAATGTATATAAACGCTTGGCCAGGAATGCATCTATACATGCCCGTCTGTCCATCCGTCTGCCTGCGCAACTTTGTAGTACTTGTGATAAACATTCCTCCGTTAGTGGAAATGAAGGTATCGCCTACAAATTTGCAAAATAATTTTGAATTGATCGAAAGCGCTCAAATGACACGCCCACAGGGCCCCGCACGTTTATGCGACAAAAATTTTAATTTTGAAAATAGAAAAAATCAGCCGCATCCACTTCATATTGTAGAGCATGAAAATTTAGTTCTCTTACTTTTTTGTAGATTTTTAGAATAACGCTGATGGTCATAAAAGATTCGGTCACTACCGAATTTTATTTTTTTACTCGTTACTATTCATTGACTTTGTGTGTGAACGCCATAGTATTTAACATTTCTATCTACTTATGCAAGGTACACACTGATAATCATAATGACGATGACGACGACAATAATTATTTGTATAAATTGTCAATTAAGACTTTGAGTGTGATTGTCACAGTGACTGAATTTTGGCAACCATTGCGGCGCGGGTATATATTTATAATATGCAAATGAAGACGAGAACAATTTTGAATATAATAGATGTAGAACCCAAATAAGTAAGAAAGCTTTAGTCGCTTCAATACACACCCATCGTTTGTGAATTGGCCGTATCTGTCGGTGGATATTTTGCAAGTAATTTGTTCGTTTAAATATGCAAACGTTGTAGTTATTCGAAGCGATTTCTGCAGGGAATATACACTGAAAGAGAATTACGTCTTCTTGTTTTTGCACGAAATTGTGTAAATTTAAAAAAAAGCTTCCCAAACAAACGAGAACCGTCCTTTTTTTTCCCAAATCCTACAAAAGTATTGCATTAATGTAAATTTCTTGGGCTAGTTCCTCCAAAAATGTCCTGGGGGACGACTTCTTATGTTAGCAGCAGCCAAAGTCCGAACTTGACTATATTGACTATATATAAAGGTTCCATATTTAAGTCCCATGGCAAAACAATAGATTCTAACCTTCAATTCAAAATCCCGGACACACCACTTGTCGTAGACAGGTATAAAAAAATTTGTGCGGGCGTGTGCAACACTCAGAAGATCTTGAAATAGATCCACTTTTATTAAACAGATCCGCACAGAGCCAGATTCTGAATCGATTTAAGCTTCATCGATCCATAATAAGGTTTTGCATCGATTTAAGATTGCTTGTCCATTTGTCCGTCTCTCTGTTTGTCTCTCTATCCTTATCTTTTGTATTGAACCTGCAGGACGCAATCTTTGAAATGTGTTGATGAAATTTGACATAGCGACGTGATTTGACCCAAGAATGAAAGCTATTGAAAATGCTTCATATCGGGCCACATTTTTCCCGGCTCCACATAAAAAGACTTACTTTGAAAAATTGTTATATGAATAACTGTATTCAAAGAAGTTGCGTAGGGTGTTTAATGGTGAACCGCGTCCCACTGTAGGGTTTTCAATTGTTTCAAGTTGAAAAAGTCGGACTAGTCTAGGTTTACATGGCGACGTTTCCAATAATTGATGATGGATTGCAATCAAAAGTTCTTAAAGGTAAAGCACCTCGAAGAAGTTCCAGAAATTTTTTGATATATCCGAACTTCACAATTTATAGAAATGCTTTCCCAAAAATCATACCAAATATATTCACAATCGATAATCGATTTTATTAGGAATTAAATAAATTTTACCATACAAGAAGAGAAGACATATTACCTTAGCTCAGCAAGTATTCAGCAATAAAATGATGGCAACCTTATCCGAGAAAACATCAGTTGAACTTCATATTACCGACACTTGACTCTGTAGGATATCAGCAAACATTAACAGTATCATAAATATAAATCATCTCATTTATGCAGCATTCAATTACTTTCAATTGAAATCATTCAATTAAAAAAACTGTATAAGAATAAAAGAAATACCCTTGAAATAAGCTCTTACTGAGCAAAAAAAAAAAAAAAAAAAAATCTAATAAAATGTATTCGAATAATAAGTTAGGAAAATTAAAAAAAGTTAATAAACAGGGGTATGTGATATTTAATGCACGTTATTGAGCAACAGATCTTTTTTAAATCATTTCATTTCGCCTATCTATATCTGGGGAAACGTTTTTATTTCCGATTGTTTTCGGATATTTAAATTCGTCTCAGGGCGAATATGAGCTTGAGACGCTGTTTCGTTTTAAACTGATTTTTTTGTTTTTTTTTCTTTCTAGTGCTTAAAGAAGAACCCGATGATTTCACCGGCCAGTTAGTGGCTCCGAATGCGGTGGATGCGTGCATACCGTTAGACGAGTCGGCACCTTTGTTTGGTGAGATGTTAGTGGGTCTAATGGGCTCCTATGGTAGTCTCTTGCCAGACGATATTAATTCGTTGGACTCATCTGTAGTCAACGAGCAGCAAGCAAATAAATCAAACAATAATAACTCAGCGTTATATCAACAAGCAGCGGTGGCCGCACCTTCTGGAAGCATTATCAATCCGGCAAACGTAAATAACTCTAGTGTCGTTAATAACAGTAGTGGTAATAGTAGCAACAACAGCAATACTACAAATATCGATCCATTTATCAGTTATCGTGACGAGTCAAATGATACCAATTGCTCGCAGCATTTATTATCACCAGCGGGTGTTACCACAACGGTAAGAATCGCTTTTTTTTTTTTTTGTTTTGTTTGTATTGATATTTATATATAGGTATATATATACACATATATATACATTTTTTTCTGGTTTATTTGTTTAACATCATTTTCTAAAACACCAAAAGAAGTGTTTGAATATTTTGCTGTTTATTTAACTAACTCTTAAATGCGAGCTTAACAAATAAACACTTGAAAATATTTTGAAATACTTGAACTAGGCTGCACAGGCTACCACTTTATCATTTCAATGATTTTGTTTATTTTCTGTTTTTTCTTTCATCTTTTTCTTCTTTTTTTTTGTTTTTGGCAGAGTCCCGAAGGCAGCAGCAGTTTACCGTCTTTGTGCAGCCCAAACTCATTAAGTCAAGAGGATGATTTTCCATATTATACGATGAATGTTGATGACATGGATGATTTGACAATGCGCGCTCCGTATATACCGATGAACGAACAGGACGATTTACCGCTGTTAACTAGCGACGAATTTATGTGGTACGGAAATAATACTTTCACCAGCGAAGATTTAAATATGCACACTAAAGAGACAGAGACAATGCAAAAGCAATTGCAATTGCAACAAACATTAAACTATCAAGAGCAACAACAGCAGCAGCAGCGTGAGCAATTCAATCAACAATTTTCAAATTCGTTATGCTCTTCACCGGCATCTACAGTGTCTTCAATGTCTCCCTCGCCGTTGCAACAACAGCAACAGCAGCAAAACTCTTTACAAATATCGCAACAGCAACAGCAACAACGACCACAAACGGTCTTTACAACAGATTCTAGTGAATTGGCGGCTTTACTATGCGGCACAGGCGATGGCACTCTATCAATATTGAATGATCATTGTTTAACTACCACGAGTTTGGCAAATCGTGGAGTTAATAGTGCCAGCGTTAATGGCAATGATGGTGGCGGTAATGGTGATGACGGCAGTAGTGGTGTCGTTGCTGGTGGCGGTGATGGTGGTAGTAGTAGCAGTAATGACGGCGGTACAAATATGAATTGCTCTGTTGGTAGCAGTGGTAATAATATTGACGGTCGCACTTTTAATGGCGTACGAGAACAACAACAATTACAACAACAATGTTTGCAACAATTGCAAGAGCAGTTGCAACAAACACAACATGAACAACAGCTACAGCAGCAACAACTAATAAGCAATTTAAATATAAATTCGAAAAAGGAGAAATTCAATACAACACTAACAACGGCACCGATTCTTTACGATACCATTGAGGATACATTCGAAAATATTTATGAAAAGAATTGTAAGTATAAGCGTGTGGAGCGACAACATTACACAGAACAAAAGAATGAAAACAAACAAAAATAAAGAAAAAAAAAGTCAAATAACAATAAAAATATGATAAAAATTGAAGAAATTTATTAAAGAAAAATTTTAAAAAAATCGGCGGAATAACAATTGCCAATGGGCAAAAGCAATTTCCGTTAAAAATACGTGGAGAAGTTATATTTTATTAAGCAGCAGCGATTACACCTAATAGGCCAGTTAATAAAAACGTACTTTTTTTAATGTTTCTTTTATTTATTTTTA